GTACTTAAGCTCTTTTATTCTTTGCTTAAATGTTGAAGCTTCTCTTTTATTTAATTATTTAAAATATTTTAGAATATTTTGAAAGCATTTTTTTTTTGGTGCTATTGAAGGAACATATACAGGCCTACAAAAAATTATTGGTCTCATTGTCCTGAAACTGCCCTCTAATCTGTATAATAATTTTTGTAATGCTAGGACATATATGAAAAACTTTTCCTACACTTCTCTTCACAAAACAAAGTCATCATAAGACGTAATTCTCCTAATTCTGGAGTTAATACTCTTAACTTTCACAATATTGTGGTTATTTAGCTCAGTAAATTTTGTGATTTTTCTTTATCCAACCTTCCATGCAAAGGTCTACACAGCATTCACATCTTCATTCCCAGTGCAACACCAAATTTATTCTTGAATGTAAAGGGCAAGTCAGGCCAGGTCAGGTACAGGGATACGTACCTACAGAGACTGTAAGAAGTTATCTAGGCTCTGAGGTGGGTTCCTTATGAAAGCATTTCTGTGTAGACTGATCAGCCATAGTTGGAAGAAGCTATTTTTCTTAGTCTTGAATTGATGACCAAGAAACTACAGAGAAGGTCACTTTCTCCTGCTATGTGGGACAGAGCAAAAAAGCAAGACCCCTAAACGAGAACCTTTATGTCTTGTAAATATATCACATTTTACATTTTTTCTTTCTGCATCTGAATTTCACTATCTGAAATCTTTTCAGTATCAATTTTACTATTTGTCCATTCAACTCCTACTCATGGTAACTTCTTTCCTTGTGCATCTTATGGTTTGGTTCGGTTTGGCCCTAGGGATTAAAGCTAGTGATGCTTTACCACTGGACTGATCCCCAGTTCTTTTTTGTTTTTTTTATTTTGAAACATGGTCTCACTAAATTGCCCAGCTGGCCTCAAACTTGCTATCCTCCTGCCTCAGCCTCCTGAATCACTGGGATTATAGGCATGTGCCCCCACATCTGGTTTGTGATTATTTTTCAAGAAAATAATATTCTTTGGAATTTTCCCTGTGGGGAGTCCTTTGAGGACTGGTCCTAGTTGTYATCCTCCAGTAAGGATTTGCATTTGCTCTTGGCAATCCTCAAGGGACTCTACCAAGCCTGGACCACTTGGACTGAAACCTGCTATGTCTACCCAGTGTGGAGGCCTTGGCAAGTTTGCCAACCTCTTATGTCCCCTCCTATTGGTTTCCTCACACTGAGTGAATTCTAGGCCAAGTCACCTGCTCTTCAGCCCATAAAGCAACCAAAATATAAGCTTAAGATTTCCAAGGTTTGGTTGAAACTTATGTAAAAGCGACTGTGGAGCCTGCCTACCTCCAAGTGTTCTTATTTTCAGCCTCCAGAGATTCCTTCACTTCATGCCACTTTAGAGATGCATCCTAAATCCAGTTTGAAGTCTTCACCTAAGTATTTCAGTTATTTTGTCGAGAGGATTATTCATATTTTCATGAACTCCATTCAACTAGAGATGGAAGCCTGTCATCCTCTGACTAGTGTCCATGCACCCTTTCCCATTATGCCCCCACGGAAACCTTTCTTGTCAAAATGACCAGTGCTTTTCATGTGGCCGAGCCCAGTGGTCATCATGTTTTCATTTACTTTGACTCTTCAGCTATGTTTGGCACAGTTAATCCTCCCACTTTCCCTAACAGGATCTTCATGTGGCCTTCTGGATTCCTCTCTTTCCTTCTTTTCCTTGCATCTCATTAGCTGGGCCTTTTTTTTTAAAAGTGTTTAAATTYGAGTCAGAATCTCACTAAGTTGCTGAGACTGGCCTTGAACTTGCAATCCTCCTGCCTCGGCCTCCTGAGTAGTTAGGATTCTAGGCATGCGCCCCTGTACCTGGTTGACTATACCTTCTTCATCTCCTTTTCTGGGCTCATTTCATCTCCAAATCCTCAAAATGCTAAAATTATGGTAGCCTCAGTCCTGGGCTTTCTTCTTTATCTACAAGCATGGTGCTTGAAAAACCTCCATGGGGCTGAGGGTGTAGCTCAGTGGTGGAGCACTTGCCAAGCATGTGCGAAGGCCCTAGGTTCCATCCCCAGCACTACAACAATGAATAAATCAATGGATGAAGCTAAAAGCATATGTGCTGATAACTGCCAAGTTTCTGTTTTGAAGTTCCATCTCTCTGGAACTCCAGACTTACACCTAACTTCCTAATCAATATCTGCCTTGGTGTCTAGTGTCTGCTAGCGATCACAGATGTAAAATATTCAAGACATATTCTTCTTCCTTCCCCACCCCCCCCCACACAAAATAACTAGCCTCTCCCATTACTTCCTCATGTCTGTAAATGATGTCACCCTTTACCACATGGCCTGGGGGTCATGTTTATTTTTCTCAATTCCTTACACCTCCCATCCAATCCCTCCCTGAGCCCTATTGGCTCCATGTACAAAATTATCTTGAATCTGACCTCATCTCACCTCCACCATCCAGGTCAAAGGCAACCTCATCACCAGGACAACCCTAATAGTCTCCAACTACCCTCCTGGCTTGCATTCTTGTCTTCCCGCCAACATTGCCGCCATCACCAGCAACACAACCTGCAGCTAAAATCTGATGTCCTTCAGCTACAGATCTTCTCATAATGTAAATTAGATCAGTCATGCTCCCACTCAGAATTCTTCTACTTAGAATAAAATCTGGAATTATAGCCAATAAGGCCCTATGTTATCTGACCCCTCATTAGTCCTCCGAATCTTTTTCTTTGGCCTCTTCCTGTGACCTTTAGGCTTCTGCCACCATTACTCTTGCCCTTTCCCCCAAACAAACCAAAGTTAACCCAGCCCCAGTTCCTTTGATCATGCCATTCTCTCTGTCTGGAGTTCTCTTCTCCCATGTACTTTTTTTTTTTTTTTTTTGGCTCACTCCTTTACATCAATTATTTTTCTACCTCAATATCACCTCGTAGCAAGGTCTTTGCTACCATCCCATAACAAACAGTCCTATCATGAGTTTTCATTCCTTTATTCTGATGTTTTTCATTAGCACTCATTACTATTTGAAAATACGCAATTTATTCTATTTATTTGTCTCCTATTACTTTTCTCACTAAAAATAAGCTTCCTACAAGCAGAGACTTCATCTTATTTATCCTTCTACCTCGAGATCTGGAAGTAACTAAACCTCACAATACATGCTCAGTGAATATTTGTTGAGTTACAGAATGAACCTCATTTAACTCTCACAATCCCTAGAGAGAATGAAATTATTCGTCCAATCATCTTTGTAAAGAAACTGAGGCTCAGAGTTGTTAAATGACTTGGCCATGGTCCCATTATCTAATAAGTGTCAAAACCAAACGTAAATGTGTGTGACTTCAGAGGCTAGAGCATTTACATTTTTTAAAAATTGTCTTATTTTTGGACTGGACTGACCATATTAAAATCATTTCAGACTTAGCCAAAAAAAATACAAAAATAATACAAAGAGTTCCTGTTTAACATCTGATCTAGCAATAGTAAAATGACAAAACCCAGGAAGTTAATACTGATGTGACTCACTTCTAGACCTTATTGCACAAGTTGTTCCATTAATAACCTTTTACTGGTTCAGGATCCCGCCTGAGGCTACACAGCACATTCAGATGCCATGTCTTCTGAGGCTCCTTCTAATGGCACAAGTCTCAGCCTTGGTCTTTCATAGTTTTCCCACCGGTGAAAAACACCATATTCATCTCAGGGCACAGGTCTACCCAGCCAGTGCCTGGCCCATGGTAAGCTGTCTGTAACAATAGCTATTATTGTTGGGGAAGTGTTTCAGCCAGCTTTTTCTCTGTTATGACTAAAATATATGACAAGAACAATTTTAGAAGAGAAAAAGCTTATTGGGGACTCAAGGTATCAGAGGTCTCAGTCCATAGACAGCTGGCTGCATTCCTCAGGGCTCAAGGGGAGGCAGAACATCATGGTGGAAGAATAGGGCGGACGGAAGCTGCTCACGTGATGATCAGGAAGCAGAGAGAAACTCCACTTGCTAGATACAAAATGTGTACCCCAAAGGCATGCCTCCAATGCCCACTTCCTCCAGCCACACCCTACCTACCTTCTGTCACCACTCAGTTAATCCCCTCGGTGGATTAATTCACTGATTGGTTCTCATCACCCAATCATTTCTCCTCTAAACCTTCTTGCATTGTATCACATATGAGCTTCTAGGGGGCACCTCACATCCAAACCATAACAGGAAATAAAGTAAATATTCCTTTCTAAGAGTGGAAGGAGATTGGCTTTGTAATGCCAGATTCATGGGACCCTAATAGACCTCCAGGAGCCTAATCCGATGCAATCACACAAGAGTCTTTATTGCAAGCTTGAGCCTGGACTCACAAGCGTTTCCGACACAGAAGTCCCGAGGAGTGAGTCCCAGCCCTTAGTTCAGTGAGGATTCATAGGTTTTTTTTTTTTTTGGGGGGGGGGCCTAACTTATGCATCATAACATCACACAGCAAATTATTTCACACCCTGGAAAAATCAAATAACAATTTTTAACATTGATTAGCACATTCACTGGCGGGAACAAGTTGGGTAGGGGTGATTGGTTAGTACAAGAGGGGGATTCTTTTGAACTGATTGGTTTAAGCCACGAGGGGTGTACATACTAAACTACATGGTTTCCCAACAAGTTATCAACCACCATAAACTACTGGGGGGTCATCTGGCATTTCAGGTATTTTCCCTGTCTCACTCTGATTGGTGGTTGCTATGGTCCGAAACTAGGTCTCAAGCGTTCTTTGGTCTTGCATCGCTGAGTCAAGGCTATCTGGTTACTGTCATTAGGGGTATCTGGCTCTTCAGGCCTTTCCTGTTCTTTACAGACAAATGACTCAGCAAGGTGGCTCTGTGCCTAGGAATGCTGGGTCATCCCCCTCCCCSTTTGGACAGGCCTTGCTCTGAGGTAGAGGTTGGTTTTATTCAAAAAGGGAGTCACCTCAGTTTCTCAGTTTCTCCTGTTTTGTTTGTGTCACCAGCCTGGCTGACCTTGAAGTATTTATAAAAAGTAGCGAGATTGGCTTGCTCAAGAAAGTGGAGAAAGGAGATTTCCAAGGATTGGTTGAGATCATGGGACACCTTATGGCTCTTAAAGAACGACAGAGCAGCACCGATGAGATGTTTGAGCCCCTCAAGCAAACCATCGAGTTGCTGAAGACCTATGACCAAGAGTTGCCGGAAGCCGTGTTTGAGCAACTGGAGGTCAGTGTGTTCGTGTGTTCTTCATAAAGGAAATAGAAGTTTAGAATAGAAATAATGAATGCTGGGAAGCAACACTTATGCACTCTTGGCGGGAATGTGCGTTAGTACAGCCACCATGGAGATCAACCTGCAGGTTGCTCAAAAGACTAAGAATGGAACCACCGTATTACCCAGCTACACTCCTCCTTGGTATTTATCCCAAAGAATTGAAGTCAGTGTTCTAAGGTGATACAGGCATACCCATGTTTATGGCAGCACAACTCACAATAGCCTAGTTAGGGAACCAACATGGATGTCTATCAACAGATGAATGAATAAAGAAAATGTAATATATATGTGTATGTGTGTGTGTGTGTGTGTGTGTGTGTGTGTGTGTGTGTACACGTGCACTGGATTTTTATTCAGTTATAAAGAAGAAGGAAATTATGTTTGCTTAGTGAGATTAGCCAGACTGAGAAAATCAAGATTTACACATTCTGTCTCACATGGGGCAGCTAGTGAGGACAAAAGGAACCTCATAGAAATAGAAGAGACACCCACAGACTATAGGAAGGAAACCTGAGGAGAAGAAGGGAGGGAAAGGAAAGGGTATAGAAGATGAAGCAGGTCAAATATGCACCATGCATGTGTGCCTCTATCACAATGAACCCCATAATTAAGCATAATTACAATGCACCAATAAGAAGAGAAGAATTAGGATTGAGAGTGGGGCAAAGCAGGGTGAAGTAATTAAAAAATGGGGTCCGATGATTGCTCAAGGAATTATCATGTGTAGCACAATGTCATGTCTAGCACACTCTAGAAACTCCGTAATTGCAGAAAAATGTGATGCTGGGGATATGTAAGAGAATTAATATAAAAGAAGATAATTTTTCCCCCAGAATTAGAGATAAGCCAACTTTCTGATTTGGAGGAAACAAGCAGGTCTGAGTGATTTTTAAGATGGTCTCTGAGGAAATGTGGGGCATAAAAGAAAATCAGAGAGGCAGAATAAAGAAAAGAGCAAAAGTTGCAAGGTTGGAGGCTGAAAGTGAGAGGGAGTCAGGAGGAGGCCATAGTGGACAGAGTAGGCCACAGCAGGGTAAATCAGGCACGTGGAGAAGGATGAATGAATTCACCACATCACGTAGGATCCCAGAGCAGAGATGAGCACAGCAGGGCGAAGTCCAGCTTCAGGCCTGCAGGAGGAGGGAGCTCTGTGGTTCTGACCACTCTGAGGTCTGCTTTGCAGGAGCTGCCTGAGAAATGGAGCAACATAAAGAAGATGGCCGTTACTGTGAGGCAGCAGGTGGCCCCCCTGCAGGCGAACGAAGTGACCCTCCTCCGCCAGAGGTGCACAGCCTTCGACCTGGAACAACAGCAATTCTGGGAGCAATTCCACAAGGAAGCCCCCTTCCGGTATGGACCACCGTTGCCCCTGCTGCCCTCTCTCCTGTGGACACTGTAGTCTTTGAGTCACTGGTGGTCTTACTGCCACTTTTCCGCAGATGAAAACTTGTCAATGGAATTTCCTTCCACGGAGGCCCTTTGGTGAAGATGTGGTGCTAATGTGGGCAGAGTCCTATTGTGACCTGCATGATCAAAGGTTACATGGATGGTTTTTTTCTTTTAAAAATAATCTAGAACTTCTATGTCTCCATTTGCAAGGGTATCACCTGTGGTAAAGTGATTTCAGGATTTCACTAAACCTTTAGCACTCTAAGTTCTTATAGACTTCTGTTCTTGGGGTTGGAAAAAAAAAGGCAGACTAAAAATATTCAATTATGTTGAAAGGCATCTTGGTAGCCTAAGGGAAAGATTCAGGTGAGGATTTTCTTTGGGAAGTTTTCTCTGTGATTGTAATATTGGACCCCTCTCTACTTGTAAGTTTTTACACAAACACAGCAACCACTGGATGGAAGACCATTCACATGTGCACACCCGGCACACATACCTGGGTCCCTTTCCCAGCACCTTCCCTGCCTGGTGGAGAAGTCTATCAGGGCTCTCAGTGCACAGCTCGGTATCATGGGCACCATCCAGGAGGACAAGTGGTTCTGAAGGGTCCTTTGTCTACCTATATGCTAGCTGGAGTAGCTTTCCTCCCTTCATTCCAGCTCTATGATCTGTTTTCTGTCCCAGAACTGAGTTTCTTGCTGAGTAGACAGATTTGGAAATACCCCATATAAGGAATGAAGAACCTTTTCATTTTCAAATATTACTTATCCACCGAAATAGTAAAGCAAGCCGTGCAGGATTATATGTTTGAGGACATCCTCAGCAACTTAGTGAGACCCTATCTCAAAATTAAAAAAATAAAAAGGGCTGGGGAAGTAGCTCAGTGGTAGAATGCCCCAGGTTCAATACCCAGCCCTCCCCACCAAAAAAAAAAAAAAAAAAGAAAAGAAAAGAAAACGAAAGTTAAAAGATAACAAATCAACAAACTAAACAACAAAAAATATTACAACTTTATTTTGGGGGAATGTAGCATAATGACTGAAGCTTCTGCCTTTCTGGGGCCTAATTTCCAAACTACTSCTTATTCCTATATTATGGCAAGTTACTTAATACTTCTGGGTTTCAGTTTCCTTCAGTACAATGCAGATAATCATAGTATCTACCTATGATTAGGATGAAAGAGAGAACTTCTGTAAGCATTAAACATTGTGCCTGACTACATGGTGACCAACTCTGGTGGCGTGCTGGTTCTGTTCTGACTCAAAGTGTCTAGGAAAGTCTCTCTGTTCTGGGAAAACTTAGCAAAGGACTATTCTCTTTTTTTTTTTTTTTTTTTTTTTTTTTTTGGTACCAGGGATTGAACTCAGGGGAACTCAACCACTGAGCCACATCTCTAGCCCTATTTTTTTTTTTTTTTTTTTAGAAACAGGGTCTCACTAACATGCTTAGACCTGGCCATTGCTGAGGCTGGCTTTGAACTTGCGATTCTCCTGCCTCAGCCTCCCGAGCTGCTGGGATTACAGGTGTGCATCACACCCAGCTAAGGCCTATTCTTTCTGTCAATTTATTTTTAATTCACAGATAACAACTGCATATCTTTAATAGGGTCCCGTGTGATGTGTTGATACATTCATACTTTGCTAAATGCTCAACTCGGGACACTGAGGCTATGCGTCATCTCAAGCATTTATCATTTCTTGGTGATGAGAAAACTCAGACTCCTCTCTTCCGGCTGTTTTGAATTATGTCACATAGTACTCATGACTACAGCCACCCCTCTGTGTGATGAAGCACTAGACCTTATCCCTCCAGGTGGCTGTGATTTTGTACCCATTGACCAGTTTCTCCTCACACCCTTCTCCCCACCGCCCTCAGTAAGAGCTCATTCTCATCATTCATTCACCTGACGTTCACCAAGCAGCTGCCACCTTCAAAGCTTTATTCTTGGTGCCGTAAAGAACAAGAGAAGACCATTAAGAGTCAGGGACAGACAGAACTACCCATAAAATATAAATATATTAAACACACAACTTGAAAGCAATTGTGCTGCCATCTTAGGCTGCACACAAGAATCACTTGGGGAGCTTTTAAAACAACCAATGTCCAGATTATCCTACAGACTCTCTGGGTGAAACCTGTGTGTCAGTGTTTTGTGAAGCTCCCCAGGTGATTCCATGTGCAGCCAAGGTTGAGAACCACTACTCTATAAAGGACAGCAACTATTTTCCTTTAAACAATCATGCCAGGGAATAAAACTCAAAATGAAATGATTCTATGTCCTGGAATCATTGCCTTAGGAACCAAGACCTTGTTCCCAAGAAACAGCTATTGCTCAAAACATTTTGTAGAACTCACTTGAGGATTATTCTTTCAGAGTCCGAGCCTTATTCTTTTGGCTGTCCTCTGGGCATGCAATTGAATTTTCAAGGTGGAACACTGTGAAGAGTCAGTGCTGGTGAGGGAAAGTGGGCTCCTGAGCTAACTGGTGTTATCCACAATCTCCTCAATGGCAGCAGTCATAAACACTATGTTTTTTTTTTTTGCCTCAACTGCCCTTTCAAAAACATTCCCACAAATTCCACAAATGTTTGCAAAAATATCTTCCCAGAGAGACTTCTGAGACAGCACAAAAGAAACCCGCACTGGTGGGCTGTTGTATAATGAGAATAAAAAGAGACACAGATTTAAGGTGCAGAGGCAGGAAAGATGGCTGCTCCTCCAAGCTGTCAGATTTATTTATACCAATAGGTTACATTAGGTCATTAGTGGCATGACTACATTATTGTTTATTGTATCAAATAAGGTTGCTTATTCCGAAGTTACATTTTGCAAGTGGCATAACTACATTATTGTTTATTGTATCAATAAGGTTGCTTATTCTCCAGTTATATTTTGCAGTTACAATACCCAATGTTAGGAGCTTTGTGCAGCTCTCAAGAAAGCCCATTGTCTGAAGTTACCCTTAGGTGGGCAGGTCCAGGAGCACCAGGGCTTGGTGAAACATTGTAGTTATTTTGCAAGCAAGTTCCTTTATTCCCAGGAGCGATGTGCCTGAGATCAAGGTCAAGGCGGATAAGACGCTAGCATAGAGCCTCCTCATGCAGGGTGTTGCCACAGCAGCTAGATCTTGCACATGTAATTAGTTATCTTACTGGTTCCTAGGAGAAACTGCAGAGCATCCTAAGCATGGGAAACAGGGTGCCTATTACCCCCTGGGAGTTTGCTTACCAGAGGAATGCTTCCCTGTATATTTCCACGGTCAGAATCCCTACACTGCTGTGTCTGTTATGAACGTGGTATCCCCCCATTTATTGTTAGATCAGGTGTGTATTGATCAGCTGTTGGGTTTTTATTTTATTCTTATTTAATAGCTGCATTTGTTTTTCTTCTTTGCACTCGTATCTGCTGGCTGTTAGGATATTGCTACTCTTAGCTGGGTTTTCCAAATTCACATCTGTTAATTTGACATGCAGATGAATCTTTAGAAGAGAATGCTTTGAAAAGAACTGCTCACAGCAGTGTGGGAAACCAAACGTTACTGCAATTTTGATGTATTTTTCTTCTTGTCAAGAAAACCATTAGGACTGGAGCAGAATCATGGATTTATTGCTAAGGGGAATCTTAAATGGTGTCAACTCGTGTATTTTGCTTCTTTCTTTGGTGCGTGAGAGTTTTTAGAACAGTTGGATACTGGGTGTGTAAGGGTTCCTTCCATTTTAGAACATTTATGAATTTCTAAACTGCAGACTGGCGCGTCTCTCTGTAAGTGGAAGTTTCAGGTTAGGACACACAGGTTAGCCCAGCTTCTGATGTCCTTGTCCTGGAGAAGGAAAAGGAAAATAAGTATCTTCTTAGGCCCTTGCCATCTGACAGGTTGCTTGGGTGGAGATTCCCTCTTCTTCAAGTCCAAGTCAAATTTCACTTTCTCCTTGAGTTCTTAACTTTAAATTATACCAGCATATGCCAAGCTGAGTTTTCACACTTCACAGTAATTTGCTAAACTACCACACCCAGATGCAAGGACTTTCTACAACTCTTGAAATTGGTGATTAATTCTCCTTCATAAATAGAAGGAATGCTGCATGCTTCTGGCAGTTTCCCCGCTTCACTTTGGTCTTTCTGACCTTGAGCACAGTCTTTCTGACCTTAAAGAATGGCTCCATGATGTACAATCCTCTTATACCAAGACCAAGGTAACACAGGGATTTCTTTGTCTGTGAGCTCCAGGTGAATGGAGACCATTAGTGTTTTTCAGCTGGCAACCAGAGTCTGTGAAGAGCTAGTATCTTCTTGAAGATACCCTCCCACTGGCAGCTGTCCTCTATCTGTGACCACTAGAGAAAAGGAGGCCTTCCAAATAACCTCACAGCAGACAGCTGTGAGGAAAGAAGGGCTTTGGTTCCATTGGTACAGTGTCTATTGTCTCTTCAAAAGCTGGAGAAAAGAGCAGTAAGAGTCTTTCAATCTCTCAAGAACATATCCATATCCTAAGCCATGATATTTGTTCAGGTTGACCCTGTTCTTTCAGTTATTCTGACTCATTCACACAATTAGGCTTCTGTAGAGTAGAAAAAGCTGTGATCTCAACAGTGGACTTAGCAAAAAGTGGCATAGGTGTTGGGAGTTTGAGATAAATGCATTCTCTGACCTCCAAGATTTACTGCCTCATGAACACTTTCAATAATGAGTAATAAAATTCATGTACTGGCTACCATCTTAACTGAGGCAGCTCGTACTCTCTGGAAGAAAATGCATTTGAGCCAATGGCAAGTATGTAAGAGCAGTTTGGGATAAAAAAAAAAAAAAAGAAGAAGAGTCAAGTGAGGGTATTCTAGAAAAGAGAATAATATATACCAAGGCAGAGAGGCTGAAAACTTCCAGAAACAGCTGGACAACCAATGGAATTGTGTCCAGAKAGTTCACATTGAGTACATATTTAATGCACCTCACCCAGCAACATGGCTCGCTGTAGAGTCTCTGCTCTTTCCCCTCACAATCATGGAGTTGACTGGCACCTGAGACTCAAAGAGGCTGTCTAGCTTCATGAGAGAGTGTCATCCTGGAGAAAATCAAAATTCACAATTTAAAGTACAGGTTCTATTGAATGAATATCATGTTTTCACCATGCTAAGATGAAAAAACTCAAAGTCAAACCATCGTAAGTCAGGGACCCACCCATAAAATAAATCCTACTGTGTGTGGGTATGGACAAGCCACAGCAAGACAGACTCAAGACCAGGTACTTAATGGAAAGGAGGCTACAACATTCCAGATGAGAATTGGCAAGGCCTGAATTGAAGTAGTGGAAGAGATAATGGAGAGAGAGAAGTGGAATTGAGAGAGAATCAGCAGAACGGATTGAGGATGGGTGGCAATGAGGGAGAAGAGGAGTCCATGTCTTTCAGTATGGACAAGTAGGTACAAGATGGTACTGCTCCACTGTCCACTGAGATGGGAAGGAACAGAATGCAAAGGACTGAGGATCACAACTTCTGGGACACCATTGGGATGGTGACAGGCTGCGATTTATGTACCTGTTGGGGATTATGCAGAGGTGTGCCTAACTTCCTCCTCTGTACAGATATGGTACTGACATTGACATTGATCAACAACTAGCTTCCCCAAAAAAATCAACTGAAGTCACTTATTCTCTCTCTCTCCCTAAGCTCACGTTTGGGTGCAGCCCACATCAATCACTCTTTCAAGATCATGCACAGGAGCACCATATTTCCATTCCTCTTAATTATAGTTTTATTCATGCAGACTTCTCAGCCATTTCTCTTTGGGATTCAAATACTCTTTGCATTATTATTTCAGTTTCAAAGACTCAGCACACCCTTTTCTTTCCTACCAATTTCTTGTTCTTAAGCTGTATCATTTCCCCCCAGGTTTCGAGAACTGCTTCAGATTTATTAGACACATGAATCAAGTATATGAATATTCTGACAATTTGCCCTAAAGTTTTGAAATGATAAGARGACTAACTATGTGTCCTCATGTCTAGAAGTTCCTTTCAAAGCTTAGGCCAAATAACCTTTTAATGCACATTGAACTATGGAAGATGACTATCTACAAATTTAAAGAATAAACAAAAATTATGCCAAGAGGTGAATGAAGTTTGAAATAGGTATGACAAATACTTACCTCTTACAAATATTTAAGGAACCAACATTGATTTAAGGATGTTCGTACATGATATGGAAGGAATTGTTAGCAAGCATTTATTATCTTCTGTGTACCAAGCAAATACTCTAATAGATCATATCTAATACGTTATTCTGGATCAGAGTCCATTAATAAATTAAACAGGCTTCTTGAGTTTGTCTGAATTTTGTAGATCTTGTCCTAACACCGAGAGGCTGATTTCACATTCCAAGTTCCCTCTAGTCAAGATAAAAAGTGGAACCTACACAGACCAACAATTAGTCTCTGAAAAGGAATGCACAAAATAATCCTCTCGTTTGGTGATCCTGGTTGGTGGGTCACTTGCCATGAAGATGTTTCTCTTCTTTCCAGCTAGTCCTTCATCTGCTGCTCCTCACAGGGGATAAAGCTTCTCATCTACGTAGACAGAAGGTGCTCTTCAACTCTGAAAACTCCAGGCTTGTGTTCTGCTTTGAAATACTTGGGAGTTGAGGAATATCACTGACAGAGAAGTGATGTTCGGTCTCACTCTATTATGATGTAGATCTACAACTGCAGTCTATGAGCCAAAAGGATTTAGATGAATGAGTGGGAATCAAACATAACACACATCCAAGTTAATCTGACACTCATTTAATGATATGCATAACTGTCACTGTGTCACCTGGTAACCTGGCATAAGTGGCAAGCAGTTCAGGTAGATGACTTAATGACTTTAATCAGGATGACTTTCCATTTCCAAAGTCACATATTTCTAAAAGCTACTGAAAGAAGGGGCAGTTCAAAAAAAAAAAAAAAAAAGAACTTGTGTGTCATTCTCTTCCTTTCTACCTCCCCTCCATATCCTAAGAAATACCTTACTTGCTGGTGCACACCTGTAATCCCAGCGACTCAGGAGGATCACAAGTTCAAGGCTAGCTTTAGCAACTTTGTGAGACCATGTCTCAAAAAAAAAGAAAGAAAGGAAGGATGGAAGGAAGGAAGGAAGGAAGGAAGGAAGGAAGGAAGGAAGGAAGGAAGGAAGGAAGGGCTGGGCATAAGGTTCAGTGATAGAACGTCCTTGGGTTCAATCCTCAGTACCACCAAATGGTACTGTAACTATTTAGGGCTCCAGGGAGGACTTTGAACTCAGCCTTCATGACTTCTAACAGTGGTTCTCCAAGTTGGCTCACTGTCATCTAATGCTGATGCAATCTACCTGGCATATTGGAATCACCAGGGGAGTTGGAAAACATACTAGATCCTGGATCCAATTCCATTGATTCTTATTTAAGTGGTCTAGGGAAAAGCCTGGGCATAAGGTTCTTTTAAAGTGCCTAGAAGATCCTTTTAGCCAAGACTGAGAGCCATGGCCCTAGGTGGAGCAGTTYAGGCTTGGACTTCTAAGTGTCAGCTCTCTCACTTAAAGACTGGCCACCACTAGTTCTCTGGAAGGGGCTGTGGCTTTCCAGCTTCTGCGGGAACATGACCATGCTGTTTTAGGTCAAGCAGTCTTGCAGAAGCTAAATAAAGGACAGAGGATCACAAGTTCAAGGCCAGCTTTAGCTTACACCCGACTAGGCAATATTTTTGTTACCTCTTCAGATGTGAAGACAGGATTGAAGCCTGGTGTTCCCCTTGAATACTCCCACACCCCAACCTTGCCTGAAAGTCTTTTCTTTCCAAGGCTAGAAGGTTTGGTGAAAGTCACTGCTCTTCCCTAGAATACCAAGCATTTAAAGATGTCATCTGGTGTCACCTTGGAGATTCTAGGAGTCCAACCCTGTGTGTTGTACTTACCAAGGGAACACATTGTGTTTTGTAGGTTTGATAGCATCCAGCCGCATCCAATGCTGGATGCCTGGCATATCAAGATCCAGCAGATGGAATCCACCATGGCCTCCATTTCCGAGTCCGCCAGCTTGTTTGAGGTCAATGTTCCCGAATACAAGCAACTGCGCCAATGCAGGAAGGAAGCCTGCCAGCTGAAGGAGCTCTGGGACACTATTGGGATGGTGACCTCCAGCATCCATGCCTGGGAGACCACTGCGTGGAAGGATATCAACGTGGAAACCATGGACTTGGAGTGCAAAAAGTTCACCCGGCACATTCGTAACCTTGACAAGGAGGTAAGGGCCTGGGATGCATTTACAGGGCTAGAAAGCACCGTGTTGAACACCCTGACCTCCCTAAGGGCCGTGGCAGAGCTGCAGAATCCAGCCATCCGGGAGCGGCACTGGAGGCAGCTGGTGCAGGCCACGGGCATGACCTTCACCATGGACAAGGACACCACCCTTGCACACCTCCTGCAGCTCCAGCTGCACCACTTTGAGGATGAGGTCCGGGGCATCGTGGACAAGGCCGTCAAGGAGATGGGTATGGAGAAGATCTTAAAGGAGCTGCAGACCACCTGGGCTGGCATGGAATTCCAGTATGAGCCCCACCCACGGACCAATGTCCCCTTGTTGCAGTCTGATGAAGACCTCATTGAGGTTCTGGAGGACAATCAAGTCCAACTTCAGAACCTGATGATGTCCAAGTATGTTGCTTTCTTCCTGGAGGAAGTATCTAGCTGGCAGAAGAAGCTGTCCACAGCCGATGCCGTCATCTCTACCTGGTTTGAGGTGCAGCGCACATGGTCTCACCTGGAAAGTATATTCATTGGATCGGATGATATCCGGGCTCAGCTGCCCCAGGTATCCGCTAAGGAAATCCCACTCTGTCTATTCTCTGGCCCAGGTCCTACACTATCTGGATTCTTTCTTTTACTGCCTCCTTGCTTTGGAGGGCTCTTCCCATAACCTTACCACATCCACCACCAAAAATCAAGCAGAGGATAAGAGAGGAGATGAAGTGCACTGCACACTAATCAGTTTGTCTTTAGATGCGTAAAAAAAAGAAAGAAGAATTGGTTTTATCTTTCTATTTTTTTCCTCTCTCCTTTTAAATGCACACAAGAAAGGAGGTGGAAAATATTAGCAAATATTGTTTGGAGTGAGCTCCAAACATGGGCTGCTCCGTAGATCATTAAAATGCAGGTACTAACCAAAAATGAGTTTCCAGACAAATTCACATTCCTTTCTCAGCAGTGAGCCATTCTGTAAACCCCTGGTCTGTGCCAACACACTCAATGCCAGCTGTCAGCTAAATACTCAACAATGGATTTCCCTAAAATACGTGTTCTTCTTGTGTTTGCCCCTTCTAATTAGCCCTAATGAATGTGCTGCTCACTAACCCCTCCCTCAATGGACTCCAATTCTTTTTTTTCCAAACATCTTCAGCACCTTGAGTTCTTTGCTTACAAATTAGTGTGATTCTAAAATGTCACTGGTTGTCCGGGTCTTGTTGAGAAATTAAAGCACAACCCATCAGAACATTGCAGTTTTCCATCTCATGGTACAAAAGCACAGTTAGTGTAATAATGTAGATTAGGGGTTGTACACGTGCAGTGAAAATTAACAGGACATTCTGTCATAGCAGTTGTAATTAAGCCTTATTGAATAAGCCAGATTTTATTTATCTCAAATGTCAGCGATGGAAGAGGAGCAGGCTTAATTAGAAGCAGACAAGAACATAGGTGGAGACTTTGGTAGGAGATGTTTGAGAACTTTTCATTAAAAATATTAAAGGACTTAGTATCTAAACAGTGCCACAAGGTTGTGTACAAAGCGTGAAAATACATTTATTTTCTTTGTATTAACACTATAACGGAAGGGATTTCAAAGCACAATAAAATCAGTCATAATCTCTCACCCCCACTGGTAACTATTTTCTTTCATTGTGAATATCTTCCAACTTCTGTGCACGTATATACCTATTTTCACATAATTGCCCTCAGTGTAATTACAATTTCCTGTTCAGCTCTTTTCATTCAAACATCCCTACTAGATATTTTCAATACTATAACCTTGATGCAGTTTCATTTTTAATATGAGCAGAACATCTTATTAAGGGAGCATAATTTACCTAGCCTCTAGTTTTTAAGCCTTCCTGGGAGATGATGTGGATCACAGGGGGGGCAAGAATGGCAGGTTTGGGCTTCAGTCCTAACTCTCTCACCTTCAGCTGTGGGACCTTGGGAAAATTACTTAACCTCTTAGTGTTTTGGTTTCCTCATCTGTAAATTAGGAAAAATTCTGGTGCCTACTTCAGAGAGTTCATTAAAGCAATGCACACAGCACATACCTTTATGATTATTGTTTCATAATAATAAAACCACACACTCCTGCTAAGTGCCAGATGCTGGGCTGAAATGCTTTGCATATAATAGTCTCTCAATCATCACACCAACATTGCAAGGTTGTATGTATTTGCAGAGGGAGATAGATGATGGCATCTAATTAAAGTTTTACTTTGGCTATATAAATATTTTCATGAGCCTAGAAAACACATTAGATCCACTCATCTTAGGAATCATGTATTTTATGCCTGAGGTGGGGGTGAGGAGTCCCTGACACCTTTCGAAGGGATGCTCGAAAAGAAAACCATCTTAGAGATCACACTGAAACATCATTTGCCTTTGTTACTCTCATTCTTCTATGAATGTACAATGGAGCTATGGAGGCTGTAGTATCACGAAACAGTGCAGAAGCAGATGTGAGGATCCTACTAACTTCTATTAAATCAGTCACTAAATTTTAATGAAAAAAGAAAAGTGAAAGGATACCACTTTTTCTCTAAGTTATTTTTTGTTTTGGAAAATATAATTGTTTTAGATTAAAAAATGTTATTTTTTGCTATCATAATGAGTTTGTTGTTTTTTAATAAATACTGTAATGTTTTTTTAAAAATATTCTATAAGACATAAAATACTGATAGACATGTTTGGTACATAAACAAAGGCCATTTGGACTCTTCAACAATTTTTTTTTTTAAATCAAGGGGTTTCATGACTGAGATGTCTGAGAACTTCTGTTTCAAGGTAACATATTTCCTCCTTGGAGTCCAATTGCTATATAGGATGGAACAGATTTCTGCTTCTGATATGTGGAGAGCTTCCTGGAGTTGAAGGGAACAGTTTGCTAAATTTTTTTTCACATTTTTTTTTTTATTTGTAGGATTCTAAAAGATTTGAAGGCATCGACCTTGACTTTAAGGAGCTAGCTTATGATGCTCAGAAAACTCCAAATGTTGTGGAAGCCACCAACAAATCGGGTCTTTATGAAAAACTGGAGGATATTCAGAGCAGGTGATGGTCCAATTGCTGCCCCTTTCATCATGAAAGAGGCAGTATTTCCCTTTCCTCTTCTATCTCTGAGGCCTTTACTTTATTTAATTGCCTGAGTGTGTGAATGAGTGTCTGTGAGTGCCTCTTGCTTTTCCTGTATTGTTTGGGTAATATGGGCTGTTATTAGGGGTGTTGCTACCAATGTGAATGTGCGACTATGTGCGTTTGCAATCATTCCTAAGCATTTCTATTGCTAACTTCTGTATATATCTGAAATATTGCATATGCAGCCATCCCTCAGCATCCACTGAATCCCCTGCAGATAATTAGGACACCCTGCAAATATGCAAAAATCTGCATATACTCAAGTTCCTCATGTAAAAACAGCATGGTATTGTGTATGATCACCACACATCCTCTTATATACTTTAAATTATCTCCAGATTACTTATAATATCTAATACAATGTAAATGCTATGTGAATAGTTATACTGTGTTGTCAATGGAATAATGTCAAGAAAAAGTCTGTCCATGTTTAGTACAGATGCATTTCTGAATATTTTCCACCCACAGTTGGTTGATGGAGTCCTCGGGTGCAGAACCTGTGGATACGGATGGCCAACTGTGATTGCATTTGGGTAATGTGTGTGCACCTTTGGGTCTAGGCACACTTAACGAGCAGATCCTGTGTTCTGTGCCCTCAGATTGTGCCTATGTGAGAAGGCCCTGGCAGAGTACCTAGATACCAAGAGGCTTGCCTTTCCTCGGTTTTATTTTCTCTCCTCTTCTGATCTGCTAGACATCCTTTCTAATGGCACAGATCCACAACAGGTAAGCTGAGGGGGCACTTGCAAAAAGGGGAGGAAAAAAAAGGTCCAGAAGGACTGAGTAGCTGCATCCTCTCTGGCAGTGAAGAGACCTTCATTTCAGGCCCTTGTTGCCACCAGCGATGGTTCACTAACCTCAGTGCCATCTTCATTCCCATCATTAGTTATCGCAGCCCAGGATGTCCTCCTGGCCTTTAGCAGCTATTCCCTAAAGTAGAACTGAGGATGCATTGAGAATGCAAAAAAAAAAAAAAAAAGCCTCAAATCTAATTCTGAAGAGAGATCCAGTAAATAGCAATCAACAGTGACAACTGTATAAAAAAAGAATGAAATTCTGTTCTTTGCTCGTAATGTGGAAGGAACCAGAGGACATTATGTTAAGTGAAATAAGTAATTAGAAAAATATATGTTCCATGATCGTATAATTATATCAAACTGGACTCTATTGTCATGTATAAAACTCTAAAAAGAACCAATAAAAAAAAGAAAGAAATTAAGCACAGAAGGACAAATACCACGTTTTCACATTCAGAAGCCAAAGTTGATCTCAAAGAAGTAGAGAATAAGCCAGAGGTTGCCAGAACCTGGGAAAGATATTGGGAAGGAGTGGAGAGAGGATGGTTAATAGGTATAGGTGTGTGAATATGAAGAAAAACTTCTAATGTTCTGTAGCACTGTAGGATAACTATGATTGACAAAGAAATTATTGAATATTCTTAAATAGCTTGCRGAGAGGAATTTGAATGTTCTCAACACAAAGAAATGATAAGTGTTCAAGGTGATGGATGTACCAATTATTCTGATCTGATCATGACATGTGACTATCACTCCGTACCCCACAAAGACATACAATTGTTATATATCAATTAAGAATAGAAACATATATTAAGAAGAGCGATAGCTGTAATTTCTATGGGGAGATAAGTTTGGAAGGTTTATTAATTGAAAGTTGAGGTGGTTTAGTAGAAAAAAGCATGCATCAATAAGTCCTGAATTTTAGGTTCTAGTCTCTGATTCCAGCCATCATTAGTCATAGTCTTGGGCATATCACTTCTTCACAGAAATATGAAATAGGAGAAGCTTGCTGTGTTATAAGGTATTTGGAGGATTAAGGTGGCTAATTGAAACACTATAGGTATTGGAAGCTCTAAACAACGGTTCTCAATCTTGAAAATACATCAAAACCACCCGGAAGGTCTCTTAAGTACAGATCTCAGGTCTTAGTCCCCAAATTTCTGATTTGGTACATCTGGATGGGTCAAAGAATTTACATTTCTAAGAATTTCCCCAGTGGGGCTGTGGGACTGAGGACCACATTTTGAGAATCATTGCTGTCAACCATACAGTCTGCATCTCAAAAGGATGAATATGAGGAAATGAGCTGTCCCTACTGCATACTCCCTTCTCAACCTGAGGAGAGACTGTAGTTGGTTTTTTTTTTTTTAATTTTCTTTAGAATGAGGATATAGAGCCAAAATTCTGTGTTCAGGAATTAGTTGGACGAGTTCTTTCCCACTTTCATGTAGTTTTGTTATCCATTTGAAGTATATGTATGTATGTTTATTTCTACTCTCAGTTTTAGTTTATTTTCTCTTGATTGATTTTACTTTTTGAACCTTTAGAATATTGATTTGACTCTAAGAACCAAACCATTACCAAAAGCTTTGTGTTCTCAGAGAAGTGTTCCTCCTTTCTCTATTCTCCCACCTCATCTCTATCTCCCCTCCACTCCCTGGAGATGGCAAGTTTCATTCATTTCTTGCTTATCTTCTCTATGTTTATCTTTGCAAAAATAAGCAGATGCCTATTTATAATCATTCCTGTACATTTCCTTATCTCCCTATTTTTTTTTTTTTTACACAGGAGGTCAGCATGCTAGACTGTATGCCTGTTTGGACTTGGGTTTTTTTTCCATTCACTTGTATATCCTGGAAATCATTCCATATCAATTGAGAGATATCACTCTTATTTTACTTTTTTCCATTGGCATCCTATTCCATGAACCAATATATCATAGTTTGGCCACAGGTCATTTATACTATTCTACAATTACAAATGGGGTATCACTGAATAATCATGTACTTTGTATTGTTGGAGATCTATTTTCCAAGTGAATGTCTAGAAGTGTGAATGCTGACTCAAAAGGTGAATGCATATATAGTTTTTTTTAGATATGGCCAATTTCCCTCCATAGGGAATTTTACCCTTTTGCATCACCATTATCAGTACATGAGAGCTTCTCCAACAGAGACAGGGGATGATCAGGGGATAGTCTGGCAGAAGAGTACCCATGCATGTGGTTTTGTTACTAAGAAGCAAGTTCTAAGGAGAGAGTATTTCCTATAGCAGTGGCTTTTCTTTTCTTTTTATTATTTCCTACAGATTGAAATGTTTCTAAAGTAGCATAGACATGAAGGAATTGAAATACCAATCGTATCAGCCTTCAGTTTTGTAACTATATTTTCACTAATTCTGTGTATAGAAGGGATCAGATCACTGCCACCCTTTGTATGTCTGTAGTACACAAGGTACTCATTTTTGAAATATTTTGATTTATTTCTCACTGGTTTCAGTAAATTTTTGAGTAGCTCCCCCTCGTACCCTAAGAGTTGAAGCACAGTAGAATAATTCTCCACTCCTCCTACATCTGTGAGTCTTTGTGTTTCCTACGTCAGTGATGGAAGAATTAGATTTAGAGGTCATGGGTCATGGTAATTTCCCCTCAATCCTTACAGACATTGCTGTGCGATTCGCTATTACAGAGCAGTCCCCTGAGGCCTGCCTGCTTTTCTTTTTTTTTTTTTTAAACCTTTTGAGTCAATCTAATTTCTTTCTCCCTGGATCCCGATGGAAATCAAAACTCAAAATAAAAATTTAAAATTAGTATTTGCTTAGGTATTTATTTTATGTTTTGAACTCCCCCCTTCACTTGATGAGGATTTTCCCCTGTCTAAAAGCTAGAGCCTTTGTTATCTTGAAAAATGTTTTCTTCTACTGGGTTTTAAATTCCTATTTCTATTCAATTATCTGACTGTCTTTGCCTCGGGTTCATCAAATTTCCATCACAGATTCTATTTTCTTTGTGCTGGAGACATTGCCTTCTCTTTAGTCATGCTCTCACCCCAGTCCTCTTCCTTGGCATTTATTCTTCAACCCTTTCTCAAGTTTGTCTACCACCCTGGTCTTCTTGTGCCAATCTAGCCCCTTGGTATTATCCACACTCTTATAAACCGAGCTGTGCTGCTGATAGATTTTTTTTTTTACTTTATTTCTCAACCAACTCATCTTTCACCTTGTATTTTATAGAGTTCATACTGATTTCATTGAACTGAAAGGAAAACAAACCGATATTCGTTTCAAAATTATTTGCTTCGCTTAGTAAAACTTTAAAAAAAAATACATGTTCTTTTATATAATTTCTCGATTCTTGTTTTCTCCTTCTTTTCTGTCTCATGATACTTTCCTAAGTCCCATGAGGATGGCTTTTTTAAAGTCCCTTATTTTTGTTCTTGGATAAATAAAGGCCCAGCCTATCAAGGTGTCCATCCCAAATAAGTGTGGGTGCATCTTCTTCTGGTACCTTCACAATTCACCCAGATACTCTTAGATTTTTTTTCCCTCTCATCTCATAGGCTGGAGAGTTGGATGTTGTAAATTTAGCATCGTAATTCCACAAACCAGCAGACTGAGGGTCCTTTGTATCTGTTCAAGAAGCTCTTCCAAAGGGCAGCTTTTCTGTTTATTTTATTTTTTTTTTCCTTCAACCTGCCATCTTTTGGCTTGAGCACCACAGTGTGGCTGTGTTCATCCTCCCTCCCCTCACACTGCCCTGGGCATTACTGTGAAGGACTTTTCTACCATGAGATGCCACAGGGCCAGGCTTTCTGCTTGGTGTGAACATGCTTTCTCTTGCTTTGCACCCTCCTGGTTTTTGTTTGCTGAACTAAAGAGATTCCAACAATGGTACAGCTTCTTTCAAGGTCACCCCTGCTCTTAACCCTACAGATTTGCTCTCTTCTGCCAGACTATTCCCCTGCTCATCCCCWGTTTCATGATTGTGTCTCCCTAGGATGAAAGCTAACAAATCAAACACCGTATGCTCTCTAAACTGGTCCTACCTTTAGTAGATCAAGTAGGAATCAATCAAACCATGCGGTTCCATCAGTTTGTAGCTAGTGCACGGTTCCCAATGGTTTTATGTTCCTTTGGCCACTTCTATCCAGTTCATTTAATTCCCATCTTCCTTTCTCCATCTTTCCCACAAATATCCTTCTAAATGCTTGGTGTTTACCGTTCTGTTTTTTATAAGGGTTGCCACATGGCTGGCTTCTGGAAAACTTTAATAAGCTGCTTCTGGACACATTCTCCAATATTTTGGCATGGCTTCCTTTCATAGGTTCAGCGTCACCTTTCCAAACTTTTTGACAACATGGCCAAGATGCAATTCCAGCTAGATGCCAGTGAGAATCCAACCAAGACAAGTCTTGGCATGTACAGCAAAGAAGAAGAGTATGTGGCCTTCAGTGAGCCCTGTGACTGCAGTGGGCAGGTAATGAGATATAGTTCTTTCCCCTCCTGATGCCTTTCTCCTGCATCGGCATTCAAATATGGTTAGCATCGACTCTGGGGAAGCTGGCCTTGTCCAAGAGCTTCTGTCTGTGCCCTGGGACAGCCAGCTTGAACTGACATTGGAGCAGCCTCTAGTGCCCGGCTGTCCTCTCTTTGGGAAGGACACATGACAGCATTCATATTGTTTTCTTAACCAAAGACCTGTGGTGAGAGGAATAAAATGCACATAAACAATTCTGTGAGTCAACCAGAAAAGGATTTAAGGATGATTAGCTGCACCAGGAGGTGTTAGCATGGTGACCCTGTAGCAGCCCATAGGGGACTCTGGAACCCTGACACCTTCCCCTGGACAAAGTGTCCTTTGAAATCACCCACTTTCCTGAGATGTTCCCTCTCTGCACAAACACACCTCAGAGTCACTTTCCCTCACAGCCCTAGGAGAGCCAGCTACCACCCTGTTCAGGTACTCCTACTGCACCTCCAAATCTTCCACGTACAATTTGAGGCACATAAAGTCCAAGTCTATTCTCTCCTAAACCTCTTTCCCACCCATCAACACCACTAAAGTTATAAATCCTGCCTTTTTCATTATCCTATTTGATCCAGCACAGCATTGCTCCTGAGGGTTCTAATCTAGTGCAGAATAACCCCTGCTGGGAGTGGGGTCTTTTATAAAATTCCAACCTTATCCACCTCTATTTTGGAAAGCAATTCTAGTACCAGAAAATAATTTGAAATTTCAGTTAAATGGGGATGGCCAGCAGTCCTGAAGTTTAATTTAGAATGTGTTCTTTTTGTAGACCCTGAAAACAGTTAGTGGGGAAATACATTCCTGGTGTATAACTCCATACTCAGTATGGACAAGTCCTTGAGAATCCACTTAACTAAACCTGGCCCAAACCAGATTTGAATTTCCTTGTGTGAACTCTAGGGAGTAGAGTAGTCCCTGACCCCTGTAACCTGTTTCCCTGTCCTGGGTGTTCCAAACTGAGCACATCTACCCAGTTTTCATTTATCACCAGCTCAGGCTCCACCACCCAATGTGTCCCTATGCCTTCTGATAGGGCTTTGGGGTCCTATACCATGCCTGGGCTGAATTCTCTTCACTCCTGCCTAAGCTAGGTGAAGAAAACCTGTAGTACTGATCAAAGCTTTTTTTAGATTCACAGTTTCTAACCCAGAGTTGTTCCTCCAGGTAGAAATATGGTTGAACCACGTGCTCGCTCACATGAAAGCAACTGTTAGGCACCAGATGACAGAAGGAGTAACTGCCTATGAGGAAAAACCAAGGGAGCAGTGGCTGTTTGACTACCCGGCTCAGGTATTCATAATGAGACCTAAGGGATGGTATTACTTACGCTCACCCAAGTCCCACTCAGAGGATGGAAATGGGGTTTCCCCTGAGAAATAAAAGGTGGGAAAAATAGAATGACCAAAAAAACACAGGACACGGAAAATAATTTCAAAAAGCAGGGGCAGAACAGGCAAGCCGATCATTCAGATGGAGCTCGTACACTATGGCAAAATGGAGCCCGTGCCTGCTTTATTTATATCGGGGAACACCAAAGGCCCTCTATAGAATGTTCTTCTCCAAAAAAGGTTAAAGGTGGGTTGTCCAGTTCCCAATGGGTTAYGCCTATTGAAGAGAGATCTTCCTAACAGAGCAAAGATAAAGGTCATGTGCCTTAGATAATCTATTGCATGGGAGAGCCACAGATAGTGTTTCCAAGGTTAAATCTCCCTGGCTTCATACCATGAGAAGATTTGCATGTGGTTTTCACGGATGGCTCCCCGCAACTTACTACCACAAGGGTCTCTATTTTACAAAATGAATCACTCCCATCAAGATTCCTCATGGCAGAATTGCTGATCGGAATCTTGAGACAGGAAAATATGTTGCCTTCAACTATGACCATAAATACCATCTCGAACAATGTCTCCCACGCCAAGTGGAAGTACAGATGAGCAGTTTTTCTCAATTTTCTACCATGAATACTCAAAATGTTGCATTTTCCATATAAAAGCAAGTGAAAAATATCGATTTGAACCCCCTTTCCCATTTACTTATGTTTAATCTCTAAAAAATTCAAATCATACTGACTATACTGAATTTTGCTATTATTCATCATTGCCTCAAAAAGTAGCCATTTTAAAGTTATATGTTTTTTAAATTTAAAGATGTAGTGAGAGTCTTATGGAAAAGTGAGTACGGGCACGGATGATCAGCAGTGGCCCATTAAATTAGAATCCTCTGACAGTAAGAGGATCCAGAAGAACCAAGCAAATACTGAGTGTCACTGAGATGCTCACTCAGCAAGTTGTTATCCTCTCCAGCTTGGGAAAAATGGTATCTCCAGGAAGTAGAAAGGGAATKATCTGTTTCTAGAAGCCACTGGCATTGACCAGAGTCAAACTCTAGTTACTGTCAAACAAATGATAAATTTTTTTCAGGAGCAAAAAGTGCCATCCCTACTTGCGTTATAATCATTTCATGTACCCAAGGGTTGAGAGCAGATGGTTCACTTAGTCATTGCTGGTGGAAGAGGGCGGGAAGGGGCCTCTGTCACCCACACAATTACATTCTGAGCCCTGGCTGTATTATAAGTGGGATGGTTGGAAATAACCCTGGTAACAGCTTTACCAACCACTCTGGTGTCACAGGTTGCCCTGACCTGCACTCAAATATGGTGGACAACAGAGGTGGGCATGGCATTTTCCAGACTGGAGGAAGGTTATGAGAATGCCATGAAGGAATATTACAAGAAGCAAGTGGCCCAGCTCAAAACTCTCATCACCATGCTGATTGGCCAGCTCTCCAAGGGGGACCGGCAAAAGATCATGACCATATGCACCATTGATGTGCATGCCCGGGACGTGGTGGCCAAGATGATTGCTCAAAAGGTAGGTCTAAAAGATCCAGGTGTGTTCCTCTGTGTGAGCAACTGTACCAAAGGAGCAGCTCACACATGGCTAAAATATAGAGTCTTGGGGTCTGCACACCAACTGGGTGAGGATCATGGTGGCTCCTTCTACCTTTTAGAACATCCAGCAAAACAGTGCGTGGATGTTCCTCTACTCAAGATGGTTTGACTTACACTTTGTTCTAACTTTACAATGGTGCAAAAGTTATATGTATTCACTAGAAACTGTACTGTCAGTATAGGATTCAATGAATCACATGAGATTTAACACTGTATTATAAAATAGGTTTTATATTAAATGCTTCTGCCCAATTGTAGGCTACTATAAATATTTTGAGAAGTTTAAGTCTAGGCTAAGGTATGGTATTCAGTAGGTTGGGCATGTTAAGTGCAATTTCAATAATTCTGTTATTTATCAGGCCAAAAGATCATCCTAAGTTAAGGAACACCTGAAATTAGATAGCTTGTGCCTTCTATGCTGTGATGGTCATAGCATGCCACACTCTTGAGTGACAGACAGCACGCAAGCCATCCAAGGACTCATGAATTCTGATACCAGGGAGCTACCTGCTACCTGTTGAATGCTGTGGTTCACCCACCTGCTTTAGTACTCTCTCTTTAGGTGGACAATGCCCAGGCTTTCCTCTGGTTGTCCCAGCTACGCCACCGTTGGGATGATGAGGCCAAACACTGCTTTGCCAACATCTGTGATGCCCAGTTTCTATATTCCTATGAATACCTGGGAAATACACCTCGCCTAGTGATCACGCCTTTGACTGACAGGTAAGCGTCACAAACAGCCCTACTGCTATTGGGTTTAGGCTATTCAGTGGGTGTTTAGGGTCAAGGTCACCATCACTTGCGATTACTCACAGAGTTGGAAGGGGAAAACGTGACTCATCAAAGCAGACGCAAAATAAAACTGAAAGGAAATGGGGCAGAATCTTCCTTGGAACAAACCTGAGTCATGACTTTCTGAGGAGTTATATGTACCTAGGTTAGACCACCAGCTCTAACATATACCAGCTGTTTAACCATRAAAATATTAAACTAATATTTGGTTTCCTCGTATGCAAAACAGAGGTAGTAACTCACGTCTCACATGATTTTGGTAATAATAAAAGAGGAATACTTATGGAGAATTTAGCATATAATAAGGGCTCAGTGACTGAGCCCTATTATTCTCTTATCAATCAGTTGATCAATCAACCGCCACATTTACTTAGTGCCGCTCACTCTGAGAATACAGAAATATAAGCAACGTAGTTCCGATCATTAGGTGCTTATAACTTTTTAGGGAGACCTATTTTCTCTCATTCGTATGAATTCATACCTGAATGAATTCATGCCACACACTGAACTAGTCACTGGGAATACTAAGATGACTAAAATGGTCCTTGCTTTTAAATTCCTTCTCGTGGGGGGGAAATACTGCATATTAAATAAAAATTTAAGTAGCACAAGGGAGAAAAGTACAAATCCATAGGAAAAAACAGGACACAAAGCTCTATGCTACAGATTACCAAACACCAGGTACAGGGGTGAGCCCCCAGAGCCCAGAGGGGAGAAGAAGACTGAAAGGGTATCTGATCAGGACCTTGAAGGATGCGTTGGATTCCAATGGGAGGTTGTAAAGTTGCTTCCAGTGTGTCCCTTGCATTGTATGGAGATGGGGTGATGTGCCCCTTTTTCTATCAAGAGGATCTGTAGCTTTTGCTAATTGTTAAAACAGATCTGCCGAAGTTAAAGAGCTACTAATAAGCATTCCTGGAAAATGGAAGGTTGTAGGTAGTCGTGGAAATGGGAAAACTCAGGGTGTGTTTCTAAGAGAAGAATATAGATTCTTGATTCTGAGAAGCTAGTCGGCCATTTCAGAGTCAGACTATAGAATATCACAAACCGTTGACAATTTTTTTTTATCAGAGGAGCAAAAGAAGGAAACCTGGGCTTCATGAAAATGTATCTGTCAGCAAGGGCTTGGGCAAAGGAGAGAGAAGGAAGGGCAATAATGTCAGAGAAGTGACATTTTAATTCTTCTGAGATTTCTGTAAATTCTGCTAAAAGTTCATACCCTTTCCCCATGACACCATTAAACATTAAGCCTCATCTCATTCAGAAAGAGTGATATATCTGCATGACTGGCTCACTAAAGCAAATGACTTTTATGTAATGAAGAGATTGTCATGAATTGCAGAGGTTAAAGTTGCCAAATAGAATCCATGTCATCTTTCTCTTAATTTTTTCTCTCTCCTGTGTTAAGTCATATCGCCTGGTTTGTGGCCAAATCCTCAAACACATTTCCAAATATCTGATGCAAATTTCCAAATCAGTTAAATTCTAATCACTGTTCATGGAATGAATAACACATGAGAAACCCAACATCAACCCTGGACAAGGTTATCCTGGTCACCAGCCCCAGTGTTGTTTTTAACTCATCTTCTTACCCAGTCTGAAAGGCCTCTTCTGCCCAGAATTCCACTCAAATCGTTTCCCCTTTACAACAATCTTTTGTGTGAACTCTGAGGGCATCTCCTGTTCATCTTTCTCTTCCACTGGTGATGCCTCACACTTTCTTCTTCTCTCAGTTCTAAGAGGTCTTCCCTGACCTCTCTTAGTTTCTAAAAGACAGTCTCCTGCACCTACAAACACACACAGAGCAGATAACCCTGAGGGCATCTCCTGTTCATCTTCTCCCTCACCTTCTGAAATGACCTTTCTTGCTTGCTAGCTGTCTGTGTCTGCATTCCTCTATGTGACTAGGAACCTTTGTCCCTGTGTGCAAGATCACCAGTACCTAGTCGGTGTGGAATTACTATTTTTCCAATGAATGAATGATGGTTGAATGTTGAAAACCTCCAACGTAAGAAGAGACTGGATCAAGAAAGGCCAGTTGACTCAGGGTAGGGCTCTGCTCAGGACCCTTGCAGATCTCTCTGCAGGTGGGATGGTAAAGGCAGCTGCAAAATCTGGGAGGTCTGTCGTCTGGACGATTTCACCTGGGTTTGCTTGGGCCCAGTTAGTTGGAGGGGCTCTGCCCATGTGAGTTGAAGGAAAAGTTTTCCCACTTTTAGCTTCAGTCAGACTGGACTCTCGAATGTCCTTGGCTTTATGGTGATTCTCACTCAGCAAGATTCTGTCACTAGGCAGAGAGGAAATCTGGCACAGTCTTTTTGCAATGATTTTTTTTTTTTTTTTTGCCTGTCTTGGAATATGAGCTAATAGTTTGGGAATTTATATCACTTGAAACAGAAATAATGAAGCCATGATATATTTGAGCAACTTGATTCATGTCTATCCCCCACTGTAGACAATATAACTCCATGATAACATTGATTTTGATTCCCTCTCTGTTCTACTCTCAGGACCTAGCACTGTGCCAGCACATCAAAAACATTCAAGATATATTTCCTCAGCAAATGCAAGGAAATGATTTCTCTCTCAGCTTCCCTGTGCCATCCAGAATATTTCCTTCTTTCCCACTGACCTATCAGACATTATCATTCCAAATGATAAAAAGTACAATTCTCTTTTGTTTCCCCGGGTCTTTGCACCTGCCTGAGAGTTGAAGAAGATAATTGCTTCTTTTGGATTTAGAGGTCTCTAATGTGCTTATGCTGAATGCCTTACAGAGGGAAAGGGTAAAGTTTTGACAATGAATTATTTCTAAAATAGGGATTTATCACCTCTTCTGTGAAATGAAGCAAATAACAAATTGAAAGGAAGGTTTGCTGCAAAGAATGGTGAATACTATATAGACCTTGACCTTGTTGGGCCCATTAGGTACCTTTCTGACTAAAGTACTACGTAGTTGAATATTTATATGGTAAATTCCATTTTCTCATTGACTTCTATTATTATCTCAAGAAATGTTTTACCCAGAAAAAAAAAAGAAAAGAAAATTGGCCTCCACATAAAAAATCACATTTTAAAGAGCATTCAACCTTTACTGGGGTGTAGCGTAAGTACATTTAATTCCCTCCTGCCAGAAGAATTAATCAAATGGACAATTGATCCGTACAACCTTTGCACATTCATTAAAAGCACACCCGTAGTACAGTACATCTGGCTGATTATGCCTGTTTCTTTGGAATTTCCCACTGCCTGAATGGGACTTGAATATATAAGTAGGTACCATGGCTCAGCCATTGTCGCAGGACTTTGGCACAACACTAAGTTGAAGAAATAAATGGAAATGTTTTTCCAGGCTGAACAAAAGCAATTCTCATAAGTAGTTTCTTAGCCTTTGGATGATCTCCTTCCCCCTTCTCCCCTTCCTTCACCTTCACACACAAATGCCCCCTTTCTAWTCTGTGTTAAGTACTGTTTTAATCAACTGTGTACTAATTTGGAGTGCCTCTTAATTTCTCAGGAACTACTACACATAGGTGAGGCATAATTGATGTCAAAGTCTTTGAAGGTGGTTTGCTGGACAAGGGCATAACTTGCAAAACCACACACTTTCTTTTGAAGTTTTTCTCTGATATTTTTATTAGAGAAAATCTGGAAAATTTAGTAACCTGTAACAAAGAACATAAAAGTCACCCAGAGATAATCCTTGTTAATATTTAGTCTATTTTCTTCTACAGGTAGATTTTAAAAGATGAAATTAAGGTTATATGCTGCGTATAAAATAGCTAGATTGCTTGTTTTACTGAGCACTATATTTTGTGCATTCTTTAACACTTAAATGCTGAATTATAGTCTATTTGCACGTATCCCATATTAACCATATTATGGGTATTTAAGTTATTTCTAAGCATTTACTATTAAAGCAWGAAATCATGTGTAAATTTTTGGCCAAAATTTATTATTATTTCCCCAGGATATAGTTCAAGAAACAAGACAATTAGATAATACATACTTACAAATTTTTTCCTGAAAAATAATGTTTTATGAAACTATGGACTTTCATAAAGCTGTTCTTACTGGTGGCTTATGAAAGTATTGAGTGAACAATATCTTAAACAGCATTAAATATTACTGTAGACATTTTAATTAATTTTATTAGTCAAAATTATGTCTTGTTTGGATTTAGGTGTCCTTAATTACAGGATTCAGAATCACGTATTTATTGACTATTAGATTTTCTACTCGGTGTATGTATTATTACTATCATTGCTCACTTTTCTCTGTTTTTATGATTACTTTTATGCTGAGAAAGTCCCTATTCATATAAAGATAAATTTAATATTCATCTACATTTTATTCTAGTTCACTCTATCTTTTTCATTTAACCTTTTTTAATTCTTTGGAAAACTTTTTGACTGTGTTTCAGAGCATAGCCATAACTACTTGAGCTTAGAGACTAGGCATGCTGTTATTCTAAAGTGATCATATGTGGGACATTCGAGAAATTCCTCTTAGTTCTTTCTGTCACATTTTGGGAAAGTCACTTATGAGGTAGTGTAAGCAGAAAATATAAGCACTAGATGATGAAGGATCTTATAACCAAACTTTTTGACTGTTCTGTGAATCAACGTTTTTTATCAAAATGTCTTCAGTTACAAGTGAAAGAGGATCAATTCAAGCCAATATAAATAGAAAAGAGTTATCTCACCTCCTTAGGAGATATGTCCAGCTTGCTGAGGCATCACCAGCTGCAGGAGCTGAGCAGGGAGATATCAGAGCCTGAACTCTTATGGGTGTTCGACATTCTGTCTGCCCATACACCACTGGTAGGCACTTGCATGGTTTCTAGTTGGGGTCATTATAAACAGTACTGCCACGAACCTTTTCATGCAGGTCTTTGTGTGGATATGTTTTTGTTTCTTTTGGATGGGAAA